CCAAGGAATGTGTGATGGGTTTTATTTCAGTAGACATTTCAGATATTAAATGAGGAGCCACTGCATGAAACTCTGCAAAGAGAGATGCTCAAAACCTTAAAGTTGAAAAACTGCTTAGAGTTGGAACCTATGGATTAAGTTTGACTTCTGATTAGCAATTTCAGAATGAAAAAATTAGAAGACTCTAAGACTTTTTCTTTCTATTAGCTTTTTCTTTCATAAGCAACTTATGTTTGTAAGACGAAAAAATGTTTTATCATCTTGTTTGGAGACATTGCAGCAGAGGTCAAATTATTTCACTTCATTGCGCTCTTTAATCTTTAATGCAATGAAAGTGATTTTTAATTTATTAAGTAATCACACCTCAAGGTAGAATTTAAAATATTAACTTACTCATTTTTAAATGATAAGGAAGCAGTAAGGGTGCACTTTTTCAAACAAAAAAGTGGACTGATTTTTTGTTTAATAAATAATTACAAAGCAATATTTTGTGTTACCTGTCAAATGAAGTTAAAAAAGATAACATAGCAGCAGTCAGTGCATTACTATGGGATTGTTGGTGTTGTTTAGAATAAAAGAACTTACAGTACAGGACTATTGTCCTTAATCTACATTCAAGTTTTGTCATCTCTAGGAGCTCAATCACTCAGATCACTTAATTATTCAATCAACACACCTTTCTGCTCTATAATTATAATCTTATATTATATACAGTATGTCCGATGACTTATTTATGTAAAATGTAAAGACCTATGTGTTTTCATTGTGCATTAGTACAGTATATAATTACATTCTTCTACTGGAAAAAACTTTGCACCTTATCACGGTCTTCCTGACAAACATATTCAAATATTAATAATTAATCAAAATATCATTTTTTAATTGGAGCTAAAGGAATGTTGAAAGAGACGTTTTAGATTTTTTTCCTTTTAAATTTTTCAAGTTACACATCGGCACTCCTCGTAAAAGAACACATTCTTCTGATGACATATTAGGAGTAATAACAGTGTGTTGAAGTAAAAACATGAGAGTTCACATCATTTTCTTAAATAAGAGCCAAGAACTAGGTCTGTCCAGGATAAGAGATGTCTGGGGAGAAAAACCTTCCAAAAGCCCTAGAGCCTTGGTTTCAGTCTCCGTTCCATGGTTTAAGGCATCTGTCTGACCTTATCCTTCTGTGAACCTGCTAACAGTCTGAGGAGTGGTGTCTGGAATAACCCTACAATTTGTTCACAGTCCATCTCATGGTTGGTTAGCTGAAACATTGATATTTCTCAGAGCTTTTTTTCATAAGATGTGGCAAAGTAGACGAACAGTATGCACTTGGCAGTTGTGAAGATAATGCTCCATGTTCCAATGTATTTAATGATTGTGAATTGGTGAAGCAACACACATTAACATGACATCAAAATGCAATGTTATATAATACTTTGCCAACAGAAGTCTCTCAATGGGAACTTATTGAAACAATCTATAGCCCTATTTTAAATAACTGATTTAGGTTTTAACTCTTATTGTTTGTCCTGTGCTGCTATGTGGAGATGAGTCCTCAAGGGGGAAGTTTTTTCAAAGGTTTCCCCTGCCCAAAATGGTGGTACAGAGATCACGGGCTGGTTGACAGAACACCATCAACACTGGAGCAGGATCAGCTGCACATCCTGCTCTAGACAGTAAAAATAGAGTGCCAAGCAGAAAGAAGATGGTGTTGCCAATAAGGTGAATCCTAGGAGGAGTGCTGTCAGATTGCCTAGCTTTTAACCACCATAGACTGAATCTGTGCTTCGACTGAATGTTTGCTCCTAATTCTATTTTTGTCCAGCTCTGTCTGAAAGGAAAGCTCTGCTGCTGATTAGTTTTCTACCCCAGCACTACCTGGAAGGCCACACTGCAGCTGTTTTCCTCTCCAGCTCTAAATATTTAAATATTTTTCCCATAGTCCTGTGGGAAGAGCTCTATTCTCTCAACCCAACCCCGCTTCCAGTGCACGCTGTTATATACAGTTATTTTTATCACAAGACAAGACTTGTAGAAATAAAACTTTCTCACTTTACATCTTGTATCTGTAACGAACAGTTCTTTCCGGACCCTATGCGGACGACGTAGTCCGACGGAGTGGGGAAACACTAGGGAAACGTCATGCAGGAATACGGGGCAGAAGACAGGGGGCCGTGTCCAAGGTGCGCTGGGGCACGGGGGAGGTGTGGCCAAGGCGAACAATCCGAGAGAGTAGTCCTTAGGGAATATCCAAAAACACACGAGAAAGTCCAAAACCATAAGATCCATCAGAACAAGATAAAAACCACGAAGGCCGGGTCGGAACCGGCGGACGGGGAACAGGAACGGGAACAGAGGTTAAAACCTTAACGGGACCAGGCGCTTCCAGGTCCCGGACTCGCACGATACGGAAATCAGATGCAGAGCCCGGATGAGCGTCAGCGCCTGGCTTTTAAGGTGGGCTGGGAATAGGGAACAGGTGCAGAGAATAAAGTCTTAAGTAAAAGGGCTGGAGTACCCTTAAGGAGGGGGACTAATATCGTGACAGTATCACATTTGTGGGGTGTACAGTATCTGTGCTGGGGGCCCACCTAGAACCTAGGCCTATTGTGGCCTCCCCATGTGGCTTCACAGTTCAGATCCCAATATTTATTAATATTAAGATTTGGTTTAAAATGTTATTCTAAGAGAACCTTGTTATATTATTAGTTTGGACTAATATGACATTAAACTACTGATAAAATTTGTATGAACAGATACATTTTGATTAAGATTGCTATTACAGATTTTATTATACACTTCAAAAGGAGACACTAATTTATCTTGTTCATTTAGTTGCTAGTCGTTTAGAACATCTATCCATTTTCTAACTGCTTTAACCAATTTGGGCACAAGGCAAGATACACCCTGGGCAGGATGCCATTCCAACACGGGGCCTACCATTTTCTTCAAAAAATGAAAACGCAGTTTGTTCCATTTTGTTTTTTTTTAAAAACATTGTAGCAGTGAGCTGTTTTATGGTTGTAAGATAAAAAAACGTTTTATAACCTTGTTTGGAGACATTGCAGAGGAGGTCAAATTATTTCACTTCGTTTCACTCTTTGATGCAGTTAAAGTAATTTTAAGTTATTAAGTAATCACTCCTCGAGGTAGCTTTGAAAATACACGTTAAAAATATTTAGTTACCCATTCTTAACCAATATGGAAGCAGTACTTACGTTTTCAAATGAGGCTACTGAATGTTGGCTGATTTTTTTTTGTTTAATAAATAATTACAAGGTAAGATTTGTGTGTCTGTTATCTGTAACATTTGGTTAGATTTATCATTGTTAGGAATTGGTAAGGATAAGATGAAGGTCAGATGTATAATAATACTAGAACTTTCTTTTTCACATCACTGTATATATTGATTTTAATTCTTCTTCATGATAAGATGACCAACAATATCTGAGTTGTGACCATTTCGATGTTTTTAAAGGGTGTTGACCCAGACATGTCTGTTTACTGTAAGCGGCTTAAAGAGAAGTAAGACTCGATGACATAAAATTGCTTGCATGCTTCAGACTGAAGCCTAATCAAGAGGTTTCTTGGCAGCTGTGAAACATTTTTATTTTTAAGTGCCAAGATTAAAGCACTAACATTGCAAATGTTTCCCGAGAGTCTGATTTAAAGACTGTTGACAAGAACCTGGAATTGTGTTCTCATGATAGTTAGAGATAAACCTTGGCTTTTTATATGTCTTTTGTGTATTTTTGCCCCATGACAAGTGACAATAGATGACAAGCTTGGATCTTCAGATTGTTTTAAAAGGTTTCCTTAAGCAAGTGAAAAATCTGATGAATTCACAGCTCTATTCAGTCCTGGCTATTGACCTACTAATACAGTAATATGGTTATTTTAAGTACCCACTCATTAGGCTTATATGTGTTACCAATAATATCTAGTGTCTAGTGTCCAGGCAAATGGGAGTACAGGTTAGAGATTCAGTGCATACTGTATTTCTCCTACAAATTCTAAACAACATTCTATTAATGTAAGATATCTAACACATTCTAACATTTTAGGTCATTCATGTGTGACCTTATAAATTTCATATTCATTAAATCTTCAGTACATTAATACATGAAACTTCAAATACATTATGTTCACAACAACTGCAATCACAGGTAAGTCACTAGAGATTTAATTGCAGAAGTCCTGAAGTACAGTGTGAGACAGCTCTAATGGTGCCAATGTATATTTACATTTATAAGTGTGATTAAATGTGTTAAATGATCTCAGATGCTATAATGCAAACAATAATAAGTCTAACCATACTCTCTGCTTTTCAAGCTTTAGGTACCACGTAATAACACACCACAATCTCCACTCTTCAAGAAAATACTTTTATAGAATAATCAACATTGTCTATTTATCTTTAATGAACAAAAAATGATTGACTTTTGAAGGAATGCAGGCATAATGTAGACATTAAAAGCAGACTTCCTAGACTTTATTAGTTGCGTTTGTTATGGTACTCCATCAAGCATTCCAGTTTAAGTTTTAAAGTTCATTGACATAAAAGAACCAATTTATTATGGTTAATAAAATGTAGTAGTGATTTTCATAGTGTTTTGTGCACTATGGTTTTTTTAAATCTGGTACCTGAAGATTCTAGTATATGTTCCTCCAGCTCAACACTTTGGGTCTCTTAAGTATTTTCTTTCAGTGTTAAATCAAATTTGACCAACTTAGTCAACAATTGGTCCACTTACTGTACGTATGAGTTCAGCACAAATAAAGACTAGTGGATCCTGTTATTCTCTAGATTCAGTCATTATCACTATATATTTTTGTAGATTACAAAAAAAATCGTTAAAGCAAAAGGGAAACAAGTTAAAAGTGAATTATTCACTTTTATAATTTACAGAAGTTGATGCTAACATTTTCCTAAATTTAAAGGTGATACATTAAATGGTGACATTTTTCCACATTAATTTCATTATTTATCCCATGCCTTTTTACAGGAAATTTGTGATGATCCTCACCTCTTTGTGGAGGGGATTAGCTCTCATGACTTAAACCAAGGGACACTTGGTAACTGCTGGTTTGTAGCAGCGTGCTCCTGCCTGGCACTCAGACCTAGGTTCTGGCAAAAGGTAAGGTTCCCTTTTAAGTCTTTTTAAGTCACAATAGTAAATAAAAGAGTCCTTAAATGTAGTATCCTCTATTCTAATAACAGAAAGTGTTAACTACAATACATATCATGTAATTCACTTCACTGCTGTTGCCTATGTGCTCTGGAAGAGTGATATCACAAACTGTCACTATAAAGAGCAAAACCTAATTTTTCAGTTTTCAGCACATTGTGCATTGGTAATGTGCTGTTCACATTTTTCTTACTGGGGATAACATCCAATGTCACAAAACCCAATCAAAATACATACTGTAAGTATTACAAACATTAAAATTAGAAATTGCATATCAACAGGTTCTCTGCAGACATTTCCTAAATAAATTAAAGCAAAGTAGCCCTTGCATAAGAATGTAGATTTTTTCTCATTGATGGTAATTTCAGTGAAATTAGGGTTAGAATGTATAATGAGCCTGTTACATCTCTCTACTAATTCTCTTAACTACTGTACACATTTACACACTACACATACTTTTGACATACTGTAGTGGATTTATTGTTCAATTGGATTATGTGTCAGACACAGCAGCTTAAATCCAAGGACCAGCCATATAACTTAAACTTGTACCATGGACTTGAATACAATCAATTGATGCCTGTGAATTTGTGCAGCTGCAACAGAATTTAAAATTTGGAGATGGACAGTGTAGGAAGGCTGGTAATACTGCATATGAAGAATGAGACTGTTATGATATAACTTCCCTAACTATAGTATCTCAAGATCTTTCATGTTCTTCAAACCAGATGACCAGTCTTTCTGTGTAACAAACATGCATTTGACATTCATTTTAACTGTGCAATTCAGGCCATCAGAATTACAGTACATAGTCCTTTA